ACATCCATACATGACTACTGGAAAAACCATTAGCTTTGACTAGACAGACCTTTGTTGGCAAAGTAATGTATCTGCTTTCTAATATGCTATCTAGGTTGGTCATAGCTTTTCTTCCAAGGAGCAAGCGTCTTTTAATTTCATGGCTGCAATCACCATCTGCATTGATTTTGGCACCCCCCAAAATAAAGTCTGTCACTGTTTCCATTGTTTCCCCATCTATTTGCCATGAAGTGATGGGACCAGATGTCCATCCAGTGGTGGGTCATGGCATCTAGTCCCCGGTGGCTCAGCAGTGAAGAATCCACTGAGTCAGAGACACAGGTTCGATCCCTGGGTTGGAAAGATGCCCTGGAGAAGGAAATGGCAACACACTCCAGTATTCTTGCCTGGAGGAGCTTGATGGGCTACAGTCCATGGAGTCTCAATGGTCAGACATGATTTAACAACTAAAGCACAACAAATTCTAGGCCTTATCTGTGCTAGGCGCCAGAGATCCCAGCAGCATTAAAAGAGGCAGTAGGATGAGTAATACGAGTTAGGGATAAGGAAACAAAATGAGCAAAACAAAACCAGGAACATTGTTGGGAGGAAGCCCAGCTTACCTATGATACTCTTTCTGGACAGAGGAAGTTGATGGTGGGGAAGAGATATTCTCTGCTGACCACACAGACTATTCATCCCTAGCCTGTGTTTGAAGAAAGTGGGGAAAACCACTAGATCATTCAGATATGACCTAAATCAAATCCCTTATGACTATACAGCGGAAGTGAGAAATAGATTTAAGGGACTAGATCTGATAGAGTGCCTGATGAACTATGGACGGAGGTTCGTGACACTGTACAGGAGACAGGAATCAAGACCATCCTCAAGAAAAAGAAATGCAAAAAAGCAAAATGGCTGTCTGAGCAGGCCTTACAAATAGCTGTGAAACGAAGAGAAGCAAAAAGCAAAGGAGAAAAGGACAGATATACCCATTTGAATGCAGAGTTCCAAAGAATAGCAAGGAGAGATAAGAAAGCCTTCCTCAGTGATCAATGCAGAGAAATAGAGGAAAACAATAGAATGGGAAAGACTGCAGATCTCTTCAAGAAAATTAGAGATACCAAGGGAACATTTCATGCAAAGATGGGCTCAATAAAGGACAGAAATGGTATGGACCTAATAGAAGCAGAAGATATTAAGAGGTGGCAAGAATACATAGAAGAACTATACAAAAAGATCTTCACGACCCAGATAATCACGACGGTGTGATCACTCACACTTACCTAGAGCCAGACATCCTGGAATGTGAATTCAAGTGGGCCTTAGGAAGCATCACTATGAACAGAGCTAGTGAATGTGATGGAATTCCAGTTAAGCTATTTCAAATCCTGAAAGATGATGCTGTGAAAGTGCTGCACTCAATGTGCCAGCAAATTTGGAAAACTCAGCAGTGGCCACAGGACTGGAAAGGGTCAGTTTTCATTCCAATTCCAAAGAAAGGCAATGCCGAAGAATGCTCAAACTACCACACAATTGCACTCATCTCACACACTAGCAAAGTAATGCTCAAAATTCTCCAAGCCAGGCTTCAGCAATACATGAACCATGAACTTCCAGATGTTCAAGCTGGCTTTAGAAAAGGCAGAGGAATCAGAGATCAAATTGCCAACATCCGCTGAAGAATTGATGCTTTTGAACTGTGGTGTTGGATAAGACTCTTGAGAGTCCCTCGGACTGCAAGGAGATCCAACTAGTCCATCCTAAAGGAGATCAGTCCTGGGTGTTCATTGGAAGGACTGATGTTGAAGCTGAAACTCCAATACTTTGGCCACCTGATACGAAGAGCTGACTTCATTTGAAAAGACCCTGATGCTGGGAAAGATTGAGGGCAGGAGGAGAAGGGGATGACTGAGGATGAGATGGTTGAATGGCATCACCGACTCAATGGACATGGGTTTGGGTGGACTCCGGGAGTTGGTGATGGACAGGGAGTTCTGGCGTGCTGCGGTTCATGGAGTTGTGAAGAGTTGGACACGGCTGAACGACTGAACTGAACTGAGCCTGTGTTTGAGAAGCTTGGATGCTTGCTGTCCGGGTTGAGGAGAGGAGGTGGTGGTTTGCTCAAGGAGTAGGAAAGAGGACCTGATTAAGCGCTATTGTGTACAGGCAAAGAAGACATAGCTATGCCTTCAAGAAACTTACAGGTTGAGGAAAGGGGGAAGGACAGGGAATGTAAAGAAACCATTGAAGTACTCTGTGATAAATTCTGTCATTGGGGATGCATGTGTCTTCAAATTTGTTCTGTTCTACAGGATAGAAAGATGCAGATAGAGTTCAGTGAAGTATAAGTCACTTTCAGACAAACAGAGCAGTCTCACAGTGGAGGAGGGTGCTGAGTCTCATGAAAGGAAAGAGTTTGTGGTCAGTAGAGATGTAAGGGCAGAGATGAATGATGCGATGAATATGTTGTAGAGGAGCCCTAGTCTCAAATGTGAGGGTGGACCAACTGGCCTTGAAGTTACTTCTAATCTCTGCAAATCTGTGAACCTAAGTCCCCGCCTTTCTCTTAGCCTGAGAATGTCACCTAGAAAATGAAGGTCTTTGTAATGCTGCCGTTCTTTGATACCTGCCAAATTCAAGTGAAAAAAAAATTCTTAGAAACACTGAAGGAAGATCCTATAATTGCCCCTAAAAGTAAAAGACATCTGAAATGATGTAATAGGGGTGTGATTACTCTTGGCTGTGACATCTCTCACGTGAAGCTGAATACAGATTTCAGCCATGAGACCAGATCACTTTGTTTTCTAGATTAAACCCTTGACTTTAGCAGACCTCCATATTGCTAATTCGGAGAAGGCAATGGCACCCCACTCCAGTACTCTTGCCTGGAAAATCCCATGGACGGAGGAGCCTTGGTGGGCTGCAGTCCATGGGGTTGCTAAGAGTAGGATGCGACTGAGCGACTTCACTTTCACTTTTCACTTTCATGTATTGGAGAAGGAAATGGCAACCCACTCCAGTGTTCTTGCCTGGACAATCCCAGGGACAGGGGATCCTGGTGGGCTGCTCTCTGTGAGGTCGCGCAGAGTTGGACAGGACTGAAGCGACTTAGCAGCAGCATGTTACTAATCAAGTGACAACAAGTTGGCTGCCTTGGCTCTGAAGTCAGAAAATGATTGGGGAGTAGAGAGAGATGAATTTTCTTTGGAGTTGGAAAGGATTTAGGGAAAGGCATATTAACAAAGATACATTATTAAAGCTCAGTATTTACAAATCCCAAAGAAGCTTTTAGGGATTTAGGGATTTAATCTTTGACTTTTAAAATCAGCTTTCCATTGTCAGTCAAAATACCAATGAGCATTAAAAAAAACTGTAGCGAGCAGTGAGACAGGCACTTACACACTGCTAGTGCGAGTACAAATTGATAGTCTTTCTAGAAAGCGATGTGTGCAAAGTATGTGAAGTCTCTTAGCATGTCACTTCTCATCATTTCTGCTGCTGTTTCCCTGATTTGAGCCCCGTCATCCATGCAAGGAGTTTATAGTAGCTCCTCACTGGTCTCTAGGCTTCTCTATTCTTCCCCCATTATGGTCTGTTTTCCACACAGCACAGTGACATTTTTCAAGCCTAAGTCAGATTATGTTATTATTCTGCTCAAGATCCCGTCATGGCTTCTCATTTCACTCAGAGTAAAAGTTGAAGTCCTTACAGTGCCCAGCCTTTTATCTGACTCATCTACTGCCTCTTTCCTCCTCATTTGTTCCACTTCAGCTACACTGGCCTCTTCACTGTTCCTCAGACATGTCCCATATCATATACCCCCAACTTAGAGCCATTGTGCTGAGTATTTCCTTCATCTGAAATGCTCTTCCTTCAGCCATCTGCTTGGTTAACTATTTCCTTCAAGTCTTTCTGGAAATCTTACTTTCTCCGTGACATTATTCACAATATCCAAAAGATATTCACAATATCCAAGTGTCCACCAACAAATGAATTGAAAAACAAAGTTGGTGTGTATATATATACATGTATATATGGTGGAATATTACTTATCCATGAAAAGGATTGAAGTTCTGATATATACTAAAACATGGATGAGCTTAATTCTGTTAAGAAGCCAGACACAAAAGGATAAATAGTATTTGATTCCCTGTATATAACATACCTAGAATAGGCAAATTTATAGAGACAGAAAGCAGATTAAAGGTTAATACAGGTTATGGGAAGAGGGAATGGAGTATTATTGCTTAATAGGTAGAGTTCTGTTCGGATTAGTTAAAAAGTTTTAGAAATACATAGGATGGTTGTACAACATTGTGAATGTAATGAATGCTACTTAATTATACACTTAAATGGTTCAAATCACAAGTTTTGTTACATATATTTTGTCACAATAGAAAAAATTTTAATCCCTATGTATACTATGAGTGGTGGACTGGATCAGGCTTGTGTGGCTCTCTAGGGCCACTTGTGAGCATCTCTCCTCAACTGTTCATTTGATGATGTTGCTGGCTTGAAACCGGCCATGGTGGGAGTATTTACAGCATGGACCTCAGCAAGTGCTACAAAATAGGGCTTCACTGCAGCTTCCTTGGGCCAGTTGTTAAATATTTACCAGCACACCACCGAATATGTGTGTATAAAAATGCATAGAAAACTATCTGGAGACTTAAATGCCAAACTGTTACTGTCTCTGCAGAGGAGAGTAGTGTTGTGGCAGGAATGTGAAAGTAGAGTTACACCTTTTACCATATATACTTATATAGTGTTTCAGTTTGTTTTTTTTAAAATAGTGAGCATATAGACATATATATCTTATACTCCTTTTAAAAAATAGAAAAATATGTATATATTTTCTATTTTTCTCAGAAGGTTAAAACCAGTCACATATACAGTCTGAAATGGCTCATGAAGAGGCTGAAGGCCTAGCCTGGGACTTGGATTCCATTTCCTCAGAGATCTTTCTTCTTGCCCAACTAAATAGGGGTTTTTTTTTTTTTTCTTCTGTCTTTTCATAGGTTACCCCACAGCCTATCCAGCTGCGGCCCCTGCCTACAACCCCAGCCTGTATCCCACGAATAGCCCCAGTTATGCTCCAGGTAAGGAGAAAGTGGAGTCAGTAGTGATGAGTGGGATGGGAGGTGAGGCTCTACTTGGAAAAAAATAAACTCAAAATACCTGCTGGCCTTTCCATGTCTTTAATTGCTCTGGGCTCAGCTTGTCCATGATTGATTGTCCAGGGAGTCCCCTCTGGGAACTGGGGCAGTTGAGCCTCCAGGTTGGGGTGGGAACAGAATTTCCTCTATTCTCTTAGTAACTTATAGTGACTCCTCTCTCTTCTACTAGAATATCTGAGACACGTGTCCTCCGCACAGAACCTTTTCTGCCCTCCTAATGTCCACACCCGTGTTTGCTCCGTTTCCCCTGAGGCTGCCATTGACATACACAGACTCACACACACTGAACACCCACTCACACAGCAGACTTCCTGGATGTGGACCTGGAAGAGAGTGAGAGACTTGCCACCAGACATAAAGAGCTGGTTTTCAAGCTGAAGCAAAGAACTTGTTTTTCAAAAATAACAAAGGGCCAACACTCCTTGGTTAGAAGCTGAAACCGATTTGAAAGTATTGAAGAAGTTTGTTTCAGTTTGGGAGCAATGCAGAGGTCTTACCACTGATGTTAACCCCCGTGCCCCCGTCCCCACTGGCAAAAGCCTCTCTCAGCTGGTGCTTTAACACTCAAGGGGCAGGAGAAAGATTGTGGGCTCTGCAGTTCGTAAGTCTTGGGTTTAAATCCTGATTATTCAACTCACTAGTTGTGAGGCCTTAGGTTACCTCACCTCTGAGAAATGTGCTACCTACCTCAATGTTGTAGATGGTTTTGTGTAAGTTCCTCTTCATTTATTCAACAAGTGTTGCTGAATGGCCTTCACACTAGAACAGAATAAAAGGAAGGATATTATCTTTGCCTAAAGTAGCTTACAGTTGATTTAGGAGCTGACATGTAAACAAATTCCTGGCTGTATGGTGTGATGAATATTGTAAAAGGAATACATACAAGAGGAGAGGAAGCAAAGGAGGGAACAACCTCTGCTTGGGGTTCAGAGTGTAGGGGAAGGCTTCACAGAGAACTTAGCAGTGGGTACTTGAGAGAGAAGGAAGAAACATTCTTTTTTGTTTGGTTGGTGGAGGGGTTTTTTTGTTGTTGTTAAGAGGCATTCTTTTTTGTGTGTGTGTTTTGGTTGGTTGGGTTTTGTTGTTATTGCTGAGAGGCATCTTTTTAAACATACAAAGGAAAAGCTGGGCATTCTAGGTGGACTGGAGCCTGGGCAAAAGCACGGAGATGGGAGGAATGATGTTGAAGAACATCAAAGTAGTGAGAATGATTGAAGCATAGGCTCTTGGGTGGGACAGTCCAGAATCTGGATTACAGATGTTCGAGGGCCGGATTTGGAAAGTCCTTGAATGTCATGATAATACCCTCATTTTCATGTTTAGTAATTATTATTGTAAAGTGAGAAAGCTTGAAAAGGCCTTAGAGAGCCTCCAGTTCAGTTCCTTCTCTTGACAATGGAAATGCAGAGAGAAGCAGTATTTTATCCATGTTACCCAATGAATCAACAGTAACAGTAGAACCTTTGGCAGATCTAAGGGTTCTTGGTCTCATGCTTTCTGTGCCAATCCAATACTCACCCCACTGGCATTCCCTTTCTTCCGGGGTATTTAAATGAGACAAACATGGGCTGTGTCAGAAGACCTAGATTTGCGTTCGACTGTCACTTCCTAGATTAGCAATCTTAACATCTCCTGACCTCTGAGCCTCAATTGCCCCTCCTAAAGTAGGGATAATGTCATGATCATATTATACTCACATGCACATGCATATCATGAGCCCTGCTCTTTTTTGGCAGATAAGAACTATTTTATGCAAATAAGTGATGTTAATCCCTAAAGTGCTTACATAGGTACATTATTCCACTTGCCCTTGCTATGCCAAGGGCACTCTGGAAAACACTATAGATGATTCAGATTTGTGAAACTGCAGTCATTGCCCTCAAAAAGCTTGCGAGGGGAACAGTGACACACAGGCTAAAAAAAAAAAATCTATAATGGTATCTCACCACTGATATTTTATCCTATACTCGCTTTAATCAATAAGATATATATTTCTCCAAAAACATACTAGGAGGCAGAAGCAATGAAAACTACAGAAATTCTCTCTTATAAAAGACTTAATCAAATTTTATAAGTTCTATCTTACTTAAAAACTATGGTGATTTTGATACTAATCTTACAGTATAAAAATTATTTCAATGCTATGAAATCTGTGAATTGTCTTGGTAACTACCCAGTCTAAAACACAATGAGATGAGTAGTGTAGAAGGTCAGGTAAGATCCAGGGTGAAGGAGGTGCATTATCTTCATAGTCAGGAGGCCATCAGTGACCTCTGTGGAAGTGGTCAGAGAGGAGAGGCTGGGAGTGAAGGAGTGGATTTATCAGATGGAGCCTACAGTTACAAGAGGCTTGGCTACTAGCAAAAGGAGGATGGAGGGGGATTGAGTAGAAGGGGAGACGGGGTTAAATGAGGGGTTTTGTTTTTGTTCTTTCTGGAAATGAGCATTAAATAAGTACTGATGAGAAGGAACAAGTGAAGAGGACATTGAGACACAGAAGAAGACGTGTCAGATGGAGCCAGGCTTCCAAGGAGGCTATAGTGGCGTAGGAAGTCCAGAGCTCGATTCTCTCATTTGTTTTGGGGAGCTAGTGGAATGGGGTCCCTCCCATGGAAGAGCAGCTCTTCCTCTCAGACAAAAGAAAAGGTCACAGGTGGGTGTGCTTAGAATAACTTGCCCAGTGCTAAGTGTAGAGTTCTTATCTCCTGATCTTGATTTGCTGAGACAATTGAGCAAGGAGAGAGAGCGTTCTCAGAGAGGTAAGGGATGAGCCTCCCTGTGAGAGGTGGGAGAGGATATTTGAGCAGTAACACGGCCCTGTAACATTTGAGGTGCAACTGAGGTGGAGACTGTGCGTTTCTCAAGGCTCTCCCCCAGCCCTGGGATATTCGCTCATAATGTTCCAAACTTCTGATGATAGATTTAGGATTAGTTTGCCAAGAAAGCAGAAGGACAGGGAATGAATAGCTAACATTTGTTGAATGGTTCTTATGTGTCAGGGGCTATTTTAAGCTCTTTATGGGTATTGTTTTATATCACAGCAGACCTTTGAGGTCATTATTGTTATTCCCATTTTTCTAAGTGGGAAAACTAAAACTTGAAGTTAATGGAACTAGCCCAAAGATCCCAATCTAGGCATCCAGCCACCACATCCACATGCACTCTTAACCACATTATAGTTGCAGTTGACTAGAGTGAAATTGAGATGTTAGAGCAGTCAGGTGAGAGAGAGAAGGGAGAGCAGATAGAAAAAACCTGAGACTGGGGCGGTGGGGTGGGGGAGAATGGATAGATTGAAAAGCTCCTAGCATGTATAAAGTACTGATTAAGTTTTAATTTTAATGCACACAGAATATCAACCCACATCTTACTTGGTTTTCCCCAATTTTGCATTTTTAAAAATCAATATATATCTAAGCTCTGACCAAACCATTTTCTGAGAAACCCACACAATTCACTAGACAGGGTGGTATTAGCACGCTGTGTCAGAAAGCCCCAAACTGGGAGTTGGAAGACCAGGCTTGTAGCACTAGTTCTGCTACTGATACTGGTGTGACCTTGGGCAGATCCTTTTGTCTTTGGAGTTACGTATGCACACAGCTGGTCTCTGGCGTACGGTGGGAGGCTGGCCTCTGCGTTTCCAGGTCTCTTGACTGTGGTGGAGGTGCTGACTCAAGGACAGTGAAGATGTAGTAGGTGCTCTCAGCTTCCTGCCAGAGCTGCCACTTGTGATGCTGAGAGATGCTACAGGATAGACGCCTGCAGAGGAACCAGGCTCTCAGGTTGAAATTTCTCTCAGCTTCTTCAAGGAAACAAAGAAGTTGCTTCAAAAAGAGCTATTTATAGCAGCACTGAGTACCCTAAGATGTCATCTGTCCAGAATGCAAGGAAATGTTTCACTCCTTCATTGGTTTTGAAAGCAGCTTGGGTACTTGGAGCTTTTTTCCAACCTCTAAAGACTTGAGAGATCTTCTTTAAATTTGGCCCCGCAGGAGGTATAGCCAACAGAAACTTGTTTTCAGAATCTAGAGACCAAAGGATGTGTCATATTAACGGTAATCTGACTTGAAAATGAAGCAAAAGGAAAAACAGAATAACTAACATAGATAAAATGAAATACCTCCTCACAAAAAATCTTTATAAATCATTGTCATCTGTTGTCACACTTGATTTCATAGCAGCCTTCTAGAGTATATATATTATTCCCATTGTGCATAAGATGAACCTGAGAAGGGGAAGGAATTTGTGTTTTCTGAACACCTGCCATGATCCAGGCACCATGCAGGTCTTGTCACAATTTTTTTTTCCCCTACATTCCTGTGAGTTAGAGCTCCTTGTCTCCAGTTTTGCTCAGAGAGGTAAAATTACTTGTGCAAAGTTGCACAGCTAAAGAGCAGTGGAGCTCAGATTCAAAGCCAGTCTGACGGCCCACAGTCTGTGCCCCTTCTACAGCAGCACACTGTCCCAGAGGTTTTAGTGAATGAAGTGCCCCTACATTGGTCCTAGCCCTCCAGCACTTTATAAGAGCTCTTCAGAGACCAAAGATGGTGGTTTTATCCCTAAACCTTTAGCTTTTTATCCAGCACATACCGCCTCTGTCATGTGTGAAGTCCCTCTGCAATGCTTGGGAGAACTGAAATTTATTCTTAGCATAAACAAGCAAAGAGCAGGAACTTGGACGTATGTACTTCCAGGCAGCTCTGGGTCAGCTGCCTGGAAGATGTCGTGGTATCCAAAGGGTACCCCTCCCCAGTGAGTGGGCTTTCCTGGATGGCAAGTCTGTCACCCTCTCTAGGGTGGAGGTACTTTGTACCCTCTGTGTTCATGGTTTTCTTATGTAGCCCGGGGGAAACTGCTATTTTGAGACAAAGTCTGTTTTTGTAACTGCAATATGTACTACTTTGCACAGATTCTTAGTGGTAATTTCAACTAACATTTCTATCCAACAGAGTTTCAGTTCCTGCATTCAGCTTATGGTAGGAAAGCTATTTTTCCTCATCTGTATTATGGCCTATGAATGTGTTATCTCGTAACAACAGTAGATCCCCTTTCCTTTCCTCCCCAAATCCCATCCCCTAGGCTTGGGCTCCCCCAGGTGGCTCAGCAGCAGTTCCTAAAGCATGCAGGAACATGTCTGATGGTGCAAAATCATGGGTTGGAGACACACGTGAACCGTCCCCTAGGGCAGCAGTGAAGGATCATGGCACTAAAAGGCGTCTCTCCCTTTCCTCACCTCCGGGGTCCCATCTGACCTAAGTCAGAAACCTTCACCCTGTGACTGCTGCATTCAAACCAGTGAATAAAAATTCCTGGGCCTCCATGGCTCCTCTGTTGGCTATATGGCAGCACCTGTGGAGGAATACCTGGATTATGCCTGTAAGAACACAAAAAACCAGTCTGCCCAGGATCAGATTTTCCTGTCTCCATTGGCAGTCTCACATGTTTAAAGACCTGGTTGACTTTAGATGCATCTATTCCCTCAGCCCAGATCTTGAGCTCTGGCTCATCTGGGGGCATTTTCCTGGATGGTGAGAGGTGAGGGTCAAGTGTGCTAATAAACCAGGGACCAGAGCTGGATTCTCTGGGCAGTGTGGACTCCAGGCCCAAGGCACCACGGGAACTCCTGGGCACCTGTGAGGGTCCCAGCAGTGTAACTTGACTAGGTCCTTTTTTTGTCATAGACAGGAAGGGACCATAGGGGGGACTTGTCGCTTTCACCACCCTTGCCTGGGCTGCTCAGGACAATGTTTTTGTAAAGTCTCTGCACACTTTCTCAACTTTTAACCTTGAATTATTTGGATGTTGAAAATTAAATTTGTGTGTGGCCCATCTTTTAGGAGATGAGCTGTGAAAATCTCTCCTTTATGCTGCTGTGGGCTGCGTGATCTTGGGCAATTTGCTAATATCTCCAGGCCATAGATAAAGTGTTTTATTCCAGATGATCTCTGAGGTCCCTTTAAATGCCAATAGAAGGCCCTCTTAAAATCTTATTATTTCATTTTTGCTAGTCACAGACCTGTTTCTCTTATTGTTTATGAGGAGTCATTTTTGTTTGCCTCAGAATATATGAACTTGAACAGAAGTCTCCATAGAAAGTGAAAGAAGCACTCCTGCTTCCTTTCCCCTCCAGTTGTAGCATCTGAAATATTAAGAGTAGTATGGAGCTCTTCTCTTCACAGATGGTTCTGTTCCAGACCCTAAGCCAGGGCCCTTTAAAGCCGCAGACTTCAGTAAGACAGAGTTCTTGTTTTGAAGGACCTCACCATTTAACAGGGGAAGATAGACAAACCAGCAGGGAACTTCTAAGAAACACAGGAACTAGGGTAGTAAACCAAATGGGGCACACAAGAGAAGTATGGTCAAGAACTGGGGGAGAAAAGGACCTCATAGCGGAGGCAAGTCTTCAGCTCACGGTTGATGGATTAATAAATGTCTACCAGGTAGCATCTGGGGAAAGACCAACCAAGAAGAGTGAGCAGTGTGAGCAAAAACACAGAGAAGTGATGCTTCTTGGCATTGTCTGGGAATGGTGAGCGATTTGTGTGGCTGACGTGTAGGGTTTGAGAGCGAGAACAGAAAGAATCTAGAGAGATCATAGGACTAGATCTTGAGGGGCCTTAAATGCCACACAAGGAGTTAGGTAGTGGAGGACTGTGGGATGTTTTTAAGAAAGAAGGTTTTGTGATTAGATGTAGGTCTTAGAAATATCATTCTGATTGCAGCTTGGAGATTGGAGTTAGCAGGTTTAAAAATGGACTGAGGAAGCAGTTGCAATAATTCAGGTAGGAGATGATGAGAGCTTCCATTGGAGCTGTCCACACCTGTGAGGATGGAGGAGTCAGCAAACACCAGAATTAGAAACTGTGAGACTGGGTACTTGATTTTTGATCCTCACAATCAGTGCTATCAAGCAATCAAGTAGTGGTTATTTATTGTCATATTGTGAGACAACAAACCTGAAGTTTAGAAAGGTGTAGTGACTTGCCCAAGGTCCCACAGCTAATAAGTGGCACAGCCCAGGCCAGAACTCAGATTTCCCGACACACTACATTGTTCAGGATGATGGTCCCTTGCTGCCTCTCCTCCTTGTAAGTGTGCTTAACAGATTGTTCAAGTGTCAGAGGGCGTGAGGGCCCCGTGTCCAGGGATGTGAACAACCCAGCACTTGGACGTGGGCAGCATGCTGTGACTGGGCCGTGGCCTTTCACTGCCATGGGTTCTCTCTCTTTTTTTAAATTGAGGAATAATACATATACAGCACTCCATAAAGTGCACAAGTCTCACAGGTGCACCTCAATAATACACATGTATTTATTCAAAATATAGATCATTTCTAGGAGTTGGTACCTTTAATGGCACCAGGAACAGGCATGCCTGTCAGAGCAGCCTTCTCTATCACCATGCCTCTCAAAGCTTTAGTTGGATTGTCTTCATCCCACAACTGAGTTCTGAACCGCTGCCAGCAACAGGTTACTTTAGAATTGTGCATGGACAAGGAAGATCATGTGGTATATCTTAACCAGTGAGGAAAGCAAATTGACAGCTGCTATTTGTTGGTTTTAGTCTTCATAATTTTTCCAGTTACTTAGATTATTATATATTCATATATATAGAAAACTACAGAAATATTAGTTTTTGTTTTCTTTATAATGAAACCAGAAAAAAATATCCACTTCTTCACAAACACGTATAGTTTAGTTCACTAGCTCAGTTGGGAAACATAATCAAAGGCACAGTCGCACTTGCTTTCCTGGTTAACCTGGAACATTATTTTGCTGTGCGTGATGCTGTCTTGTTCACTCTCTGGTTGGCGTGTGGCTGTGTTGCATCCCCAGCTAGACCATAAATAACCTCGTGTGCGGTGCCCATGACCCACGTGTGTTCCTGTCCACCGTGGCACTCCCCTCAGTGCTGAGTGCAGTGTAGGCCTCAGTCGCTCTTTGGTTGACTTTGACTGACTTTAATTGTCACATGGTCCTTCAGGCTAATGTCAGACTTTTGGTTTGTGGTTAAAATTATGGTAAAGTATGCACCATTTGTGTTAAAAACTGGACCAGAATAGGACCTCCAAATTCTCCACAGATTTCAGGCTCCTGCTCTCTGGTAGATTCCTGTGGGGTCTTGAGGGCCTGAGCTTGCTCTATCTGACTTCCTAGAGCTGAGTGTTTTAATTTTTTAGGGAGTTGATTTAGGTGGTCAGGGCTTTCCAGCCAAGTGGAGTGGCAGGTTCTAAACTTGGAGCCATCTTAATAGGATTTTTCAACACTAATTGGTTCCTTTATTAATCCCCGTCACTTCACCCACCCCTGACCCTCAGGAAAAGAAACTCAAGGTAATTGTTTAAAATTGACTGCCCTCCTCCTGTGTTGTCTGCAGAGTCATGATCTATTGTCCAGCAAAGGCCCTGGACTCTGCATGGAATTCTGCTGGATCTCCATTTCTTCTATCAGAATTCTCCTTTTAGTGTCACTTCCCTGCCCATGATTTCCTTCTCATTTCTCAGCATCTGCTATATATATTGCGGGCCATTGATGCAAGCTCAGAGTCAGCCCAGAACAGCTACATTCTTTTCCTCGGTTCAACTAAAACAACAGAGTCTTTGACCTCCTCCTCTGGCCCCAGTACTTTGATGACTGAAGGATACAGAGGCTTTTCCAGTTACCTGGACAGGCAGAGGGGTTTATGGGAGGGTGTCTGGAGTGGACTATCCTAGTCCTGATGGAATGAGAGAGTATAGGCAAATTTGCTTCTCATACTACCCTGTCTACCTCAGCCTCTTGTTAAAGTGTTTCAAGTATATCCAACTGTTGCCAATACTAATATACTTTAAAACACCCCATATCCATGACTCCCAAGACCTTATTTCAGTGGAAAAGATACTGCTAAAATCATCTTTTAGTCCTAAGTAGAAATTTGTGTCAGGAATATTTCTCCTCTAGTGTTTGAAAATAGATCAAGGGAGATACCTAAAACGTTAGGCACCCCCCTCCTTTGAAACTGTATTTCCTTTCCTTGCCTACAGGACACACGAAGGTAAGTTTTTTGAGTCACTCCCCACTTCTAGAACATAGGAAGCATCATTCTTCAAATTTCTCAAGCTGAGCTTTGAGTCAGCCTGGAAAGTCTCTGCAGATTTCTTTCAAACTGGGCCTCATCTCTATTTCACATCTACTCTAAGTTTGACAGTTGCTTTCTTAATGGCCCAGAAGATTTCATTTCTAATTCGTGAGGCCATGTCTCAGGTGGAGCACTGCAGCAGGAGGCATAAAGGGTGTGCCAGAGGTCTGTCTGCCTGGTCCCCGCTAGGTGCACAGGAGAGTTTGCAGGGAGAGTCCCGCTGGACAGCCTGTGCCTTCCAAGCTGCGAAAGCTCAGTCCCTTCACAAGAGATGGCAGTCCAGCAAGGTTCATGTCAGGTGGTAATTAGCGTTCTGGGGTCTCTCTTTGAAAGCAGTTGTTAAATACACCGCCAGCTGAGATTTCAGGTATGAAAAAGGAGTATTCAGTTGATCTGGTCCAATACATAGTCAAAGGTTCCAAGTTGCTACACATTAACAAGAAAGTGGCTAAGGTATATCTCAGATCCTTAGGCCAGAATGCCAGACAGTAGAAGATGGTATTCATAAGCATTGTCATGCTTTTAGTAGTGGGTAGAAAATCCCGACTCTCCTGATTAGTGTAAGGTCAGATTTCCTCAGCTTCAAATCATTTAGAAGCTCATTTCAGCACTCCTCCCAACCACTCACCCATCTCAGAAAGGCTGAACCATCCTGTGTGTCTGAACGGGGCCCCTTGGGTTATATGTTTCCGTCCAGCCCAAGACCCTTGCTTTGTGTCTGTGATTGGTGGTGCCCACTTCTTATTTCTGCCTAATGCCATTCTTGTGTCTTCCCTTAAGCAACTCTGCTGATGAAACAGGCCTGGCCACAGAACTCGTCTTCCTGTGGCACTGAAGGCACCTTCCACCTCCCAGTGGACACCGGGACCGAGAACCGAACTTACCAAGCATCCTCTGCGGCTTTCAGTAAATACAGCCTGTCTCCTCCTTTCCTTGTTCCCCTTGGTTGGGACTGATTTGTCTCTTAGGAAGAAAGGAAAGGGAACTTTTAAAACTGATATTTGTAAGACAGTGTTTTAAGAGGTTCTCTCTCTTACCCACCAAAAAATTGGCCCTCCTCATACAGGAAAAAGTCATCCTCTTTAATCATGCACTCCACTTTGAGGAGACACAAAGCAGTGAGGGAGAGAGAAGGAAGTACTCATCTGCTAAGTTTGATGAGGGAAGGACTGTTACTGCATTTCAGGGGAAAAGACAGAGGGCAGTATAAAGGCTTGTGGACTTTTGGACAGAGGGGCCTTCTCCAGCTAGCACAAGGATTTTCAGCCTCAGCACCGTGGACATCAGAAGCAGATAATTCTTAGTTGCGAGGTGGCTATGTTGTACAAAATTGCCCCTTGCTTGAGAAACACTGCCCCTTGCATGGAAGCTACACTATGGGAGCAGTGTAAGTGCAGGGGGTCCTGGTGGAGGCCGGAAACTGGTCTGGCTGGTCAGATGGGTCCCATTCACTCAAGGCTCAGTGGAGTGACCGATGGTTTCACTTTCACCTCTGATTTTTAACACAAAATGACTCCACTAGGTAAAATGAGGGCCAGTGTTCAGAAATTACTGAGTGGCATTTTGACTCTGTGTAAGGAAAATCTTCATGCTTTCTTGGAGCTGTCCAAAAGAGGAATAGCTGGCTTTGCATGTGGTAAGCGCCTGTCTCTTAAGTTGTACCAACACGGGCTGGTCAGGCCCTCAAGGGGATGTCATAGACTAGGCCCGTGGTCTGGGGTTCAATGAAGTATTACTCTATTTAAGTAAGTAAATTAGAAGAATACGTTGTATTTAAAGTTTTTCATTAAAATGTTGTTTTCTTGTTAGTTATCATTGCCCCTTCATGTCAACATAAACTAGTCTATACAACATAACGCTCACCTTTTGAAGAATATGCTTTCATGATCACCCTCTCATTTAGTCTATATGATAGTCCTATTTGGGTGGATTTTTATTCTAGTTTGAAAGCTGAAGCTCAGAAAGGTAATATGCCCAACACAGCATAACTGGAGAAAGGTATCACCCAAGATAAGTTTCTATTACTGACTTTTTTCTTGAGATTAATTTTGCTATTTTTTAAGGGAGGGACAATAGCAGTAGGGAGTTTTTCCAGATACCTATGATATAATATATGTGCATGGGCATATAATACATATTCTCTTATATCTGCACATAATTAGGTACATGCATATAGACATAACTACTGTAGTGTAGCAGAAAGAAACCTGGAGTAGAAGACCAAAAGACTTGGATTCTAGACTTGGTTCTGTGTAACCTTGGATAATTCCCATGCTTTGGACCTTATTTTTTCTTTTTTTTTTTGGACCTTATTTTTTCTAAAGATAAAATGAGGGGGCTAGACTAGGTCATCTTGGTGCTGAAACTCAATATCCTCCACCCTGTCAGAGGCCTTCTCTCCAGCTGCCAACTAGCCTTTGTTCACACGTCTTCAAGTGTGGCGTATTCATTCTCTCCTGAGGCAGTCCTTTCCACAGCAAGGAAGTCTCTGTATTAGAAGTCCCTGCTTTTCACCATGCTAACCTCTTCCTGAAGTTCCACTGTACTGTCCAGTAGCTATAGCTCACTGTCCTCTCACAGGCTCTCACAGTCACTGGAAATGTCTAAGGCGTACCCCCTTTCTTATAATTTATAGATAGAGGTAGGATTGACTGTCCTCCCATATCCCCCCAGGGTTTCTCCAAGCACACAGATTTTGTGGCTTCTAATACCAGAGAAAAGTCAGGACACTTTGAAAAATTCAGTTTAATTTCACTAACACTTGCTAAGCCTGTTTGTAATTAGGTCTCCCTCCTACTTAATCCGCACTCTGTTGTTCAGCTGCCAACAAGGAGACTTGGGGGTCAAGGCAAGTCTCATACATAGAGCCTTGTCCAGACATATAAATCTGATAGTCAATAAACTGATTAGTCTAAAAGGCATCCTTGATGTGAGCATCAATGCATTTGAAAGTGGTAGGGGCTCTCCAGCTGAAAAAAATTTGTGACAGTGCAGAAGGATTAAAGAGAGGGCTATAAAGGTTTTATCTTGCTAATATACATGCTCTCTTTATTACCCTATTTGATGGAGTTTAAAATTATAGTTAGGAACCTGAGAGAAAGAATAGGGTACCATAAACAAAGCCTTTTTCAAAAGACAGAGCTGGGACTGCTAGTGATTGAATTCCTTTTTTCTCTCACATTATTGCCTTTAATGAAATGGGGACACAAGGCCAATATACCAGATGTCCAAGATTGGACTACAGAGACAGACATATGTTTCAAAAAGGAACTCTGCCCAGGGCACGGTAAGCCCTGATCTGTGGGCTCAGCTCTGCACTGATTTGCTGTGCAGTTCTGGGAAAGTTGCTGCTCCCCTGGGCTCTAGATTCTTCACCTGAATTGGAGAGGATTGAATTCAAGTCTCTAATGTCCTTAAGGGATAGCATTCCAAAGTCCTAGTTCTGTAACCTTCAGACGTAGGTAGGACTCTTTTCAGGAGACCCAGGCCTCAAGTGATGAGTTGAATCTAAGTTCATTTGAGCAAAATCAATGAGTCTTTGTTTTGACTTGGTTTTGTTTTGTTTGTATCAAGTCCAGCAGCTTTTCTTTTTTTTTTTTAATTTAGGTGCATAAAGTAATAAACCCTGAATTCTGTGATACTTGAGGTAGTCCAGGCTACAGGCCCAGGGGAATTTCCAGTGATCCTCAAGGGTGTGGACAGGACCATCAGTCAGTTACGGAATGTCCTTTGCAAGGATTTTCTCATTAAAGTCTCACTGAAATACTCAGAGCTTAGAGTATCAGCACTGGAAAGATCTTCTGATATTATCTAGTCCAGTGAAAGTATTCCTTAAGAGAAGAATTGACCTGACTCACTGATGAAGCCCAGGACTTGGGACTGTAGTTAGAGGAGGGAGCACCGAGTCCTGGGTGCTCATGAGCAGTCGCTCACTTGCTCTCGTTGTCTTATCTGTGAAACGTTTGTGCTGGTCTTGATGATCTCTAAGATATCTTCTAGCTCTGCAGTTCTGCTTCTCCCTTCTCAACCTCTCTGGACAAATAGGCAAGGCCTTCTCCAGCATCATCATTTTGGCCACCAAGGGTGTTTTGGCTAAACTGATTTGTACTCTGAGTTCATGTGTGTCTATTTCGTAACGTGAAGAAAGGAAACACTCAAACAAGGTTATTCTTAGATGTAGAAACCAAATTCTACTGCAGTCTCTGGGCGCCTCTTGATTTCCCTCAGAGGGACCGTCTCAACACTTTGTGCGATGTGGTTGTCCTTGTGACACAGAAGGTGAGTGCAAGCTTCCCAGGGGATAGAACTTGAGCACACATTCTCTGGGAGCATAAAGGAGAGTCTGGAACCACTCGTGTGTTAACTTTAAAGAATCTTAAAATCATGGCATTTAAAACCATTAAATTTAAAATTTTTAGAATCCTGAATTCTGTGTTCCAAGTTGGATCCCACCATGAGAGTCATGGTTTAGCTTCCTGTCTACTGTCATCTTTCAGACCAGTCTCTGCTTGTACACTTCCCAGGACAGGAAGCTTACTCTCTCTCTATACAGGGAGAGAGAAAGGATTAATAGGTAACCTATATGAACTATTCTTATTGTGTCAGGCATTCTTCTAAGGGCTTTGCACTTACTCGTGTATTCATCACTATAACCCTATGAAGTAAGTGATATTATTATTATCCCCATTTTAAAGATGAGGAAACTGATGTATTCTACAACTATTAAGTAGGAGAGCTGGACACAGGCAGTCAGTGTGGCTCCAGACTGCTCATCACCATAACCCTATGCTATATAGCTTTCAGAGATAGGGATTCTTAGGATTCGGGGGTGTCCTGCCCTCCTGCATGGAAGAGGGATGCTCTCCATTCTGGCAGGACTCCCCATAGTGTTTTATTTCTTTAAGTCAGGAGTTAACAGGCTTTTCCTGTAAAGGGACAGATAGTAAATATTTTAGACTTTTCAGGCCTTACTGTCTCTGACATAACTACCATTCATCCAGTAAAGCAGCCATAGTCAGTATGTAAATGAATGGGCATGGCTGTATTACAGTAAAACTTGATTTACTAAAACAAGCTGTAGTCACACAAACAAAAATTGTGGTTTGCATGTTTCAAATGTAAATAGTATGAATAAAAGATCCTGTGGTAAATCTGGAAATAGTCTCCTGCATATGCCTATCCTTTGAGATTCACAGTTCATCCTATCACTTTAAAACTTGTTACTGTCATGGAATAAAACCTGTTTCTCTCTTATTTTATATTTCTCCTCCTCCTCTCCCTCCTCCCCTCTTCTCTCCCTTTCTCTCATCTTCTTCTTTGGGGGGAGGGGGCAGAATAGCAGTTAGACTCCCTTAGCATCATAGTCCATGCTCTTGGGACATGCCCAGCTTGAGAATCCCCTTTGTTCTACAGACAAGTAAACTGTCTCTGGTTGAAGTACAGCTCCTTCTAGACGTGTGCAAACATACACTCCTTGACTTTCCCCACAGTGTCTGCTTCTCCTGGACCACATCTCATGATTAGCTGTACAATCTAGAATCTTGGAGGAATCTGCTGTAGACTTCTTCCTCAACTGACTCACATCTCCACTTCCAGTTGGTTTTGTATTTTTCTCCATTCCATCCTCATTGCTGCTTATTTCCCAAGCATGTTTGACCACAAAATCAGTTTCTCCAGTTTTTCACAGAACAAACTATGAATCTACAGGTGGAAAGATAAACGGCATGATACCAAGGGAGAGGACAGGACACCTTTTAGTAGTGCCTTGTGTGGTAACTACACAGTAGCTCTCACATCCTCCTGAGTACCTCATCAAGGTATGCCCAAGCTGTGGTGTGACCTGAGAGAGATTTGTGACTGTATGGCAGCCTGCTTTAAATGGGGGTTAGGGTAGAAGAGACCCACTGTCTTTAAAACAATGGGATTTTAGTTCAGGAAGAGATCTTCATTCTTAGTCTTCTAATTTTACAAAATAAGAAACTAAGGCCCAAAGACTTGGCAGTAGTTACAGCAAATTGAAGGAAAGCCTGGGCTGAAGCCTGAACCCCTTCTCTTCCAGCAAAGCACCTTCTTTACTCTGCCTCCACTTCCTTCTTGTAAAAACAGCTCCGTGTTACTGAATGGGTCCTTGTTGAGTGTCTTGTAGGCAAAAGACCTAAAGCCAAGAGAGGTTTCATGATGTGTCAGCCAGACCAAGTCAGGATGGAGGGCCACAGGAAAGAATCTCCAGCAACACTCCATTGGAGATCCAAAGCCAAGGTCCCCTGGCACCGTCCCTTCAACTCAGAGAGAAGGTGACGTTCCTAGAAAGACTTGCCCTTTCTGAACCTTAGGATCCCTTTGTATAACATAAGAGAGTGGGGCTACCTGATGATCACTCAGTTTCCATAGAATCATTCCATGTTGGGATTCTCTAAGGACATAGCCTTGTTCCCAAGTGATTTATGTTTCAAGTTTTTCCTATGAACTTAGGATCTGACTCTCTTTTCCAGAAATTCAAAGGCAGCATAGTTTGTGTGAATGGCTGATTGTGAACTTCTTAGAGCCTGACTTCTCAGCCCCCGCCCCAGCTTCTGTCCACCCTGCTGACCAGACGTGGCCTGGGTTCCAGGTCAATGTGAATCTTTCTGATCCTGACTTCAGTCTTTCGAGCAGCGGTGGCCCTCCCCGAGGTCCCAGGAGGGGAGGAAAAGCCAGCTGTGTAGAGCAAAGTTTTTTAGCATCTCAGAAAAGGAGGATCTCTGAATGGTGTTTTGTATGAGGTTTCCACCTTAAAACTTGACAGGGAAGAAGAAGAGTATGGTGGAGAGCAATCCATAAAAGGAGAGAGATATAAGGAGGAAAGAGAGAGTAAGAGAGAAAGCAAGACAGAAGCAGCAGCAGCAGATGCCCCAGGGTACTGAGTGAGGAGACTAAAAAGCAAGAAGAGAGAGTGTAGAGCAAGCAGATTGAGGGTCTCCCGCCCACGTGTACCTGCCTGTCTCTTGGTACGGGCCTCAGAATCCCAGACTGTCTGAGTTTCCAGGGCCCCTTAAGAGATCATCTGGTCCCAGCCTCTTATCTGTGTCTCAGGGCTCTGAAAGATGCCACGCATGCAGCCCTATGCACCAGGACTGAGGGAGCTGCCTCTGGGGCCAGGGCTGTCTGGGCGGAGCCCTGTACTCTGTCTGTTCCCATCTGTGTTTCCAGCCTGGATTCAGCCCATGCTTGTCTGGGGAGTTGTGACTGGGACCTGCTGCCTCCCAGCGATGCTGTTCTGCCAACTAATTGGAAGTTTCTCTTATTGCCTTGGTACAGGATATACTGCGGGGACACCATACAAGGTCCCACCGACCCAGAGTAATACTGCTCCGCCCCCCTACTCCCCTTCACCCAACCCCTACCAGACGGCCATGTATCCAATCAGAAGTGCCTACCCCCAGCAGAATCTGTATGCCCAGGTAGGTACATGTAGAATCCTGGGTTCACCTCTTCTGCAGGTAAAGGAGCCACCAGCCTGGGTAGGTGGGGTGGAGGGGGAGGAAAAGAGTTTGTGGCTCTGATCAGCTGTCACTCTTGTGTCACTGAAGCAGTAACCTTGCAGCCGATACACACCCTCACTCTACCTCAGTCCACAGTCAGAGGCTCTTGTTATTATTTAGTAGAAGCATTTGAGAAGCTCTGGATTAAGATGATCCAGACCCTCTGTCTACTCTGCCCAGAGGTCAGCAGACCTGTGGGCTGTGATGGCAGAAAGCAGTCATGTGATCCAGGCAGTGGGATGTCACTTCAGACCATTGTCTCCATCTTCAATCTTTTGCCTAAAGGGAAATAGTAAGAGACATTTGGGGAAGTGCTCTGCATTTAGGACATTTTGCCAGTATGTAAAATGGTAGCATTCACACCAGCACAGTACTTCCACGAGCAGAGCCCCAGACCTTGTGTCCCTGGGCCAGAGATTCTCAGACACCATCCCGTAAGGTTTGAGACAGGCCCTCCCCACCTCTCCAAAAGCTGGTGTGACCTCAGCCCCTCTTCCCCCAGGGAGCCTACTATACACAGCCGGTGTATGCTGCCCAGCCCCATGTCATCCACCACACCACGGTCGTCCAGCCCAACAGCATTCCCTCTGCCATCTACCCAGCGCCTGTCGCCGCTCCCAGGACCAACGGCGTGGCCATGGGAATGGTGGCCGGCACCACCATGGCGATGTCAGCAGGTAAGGGCAGCATCTATGTCAGTGTCCATCCCCTTCCTCCAGGAACTCACAACAGAGTGGAAGACACAGTGATGGAATCGGCTGTAGCATAACATGAAGAATCCTGTGCCTGGGAGTTCTAGGGACCCTCTAACTCTGTCCACAGGGCTGTAGAAGATTTCACCGTGGAGGATGTAGTGAGCTAGGCCTTAGAAGGTGAACAGAGGCTAATCAGAGAGATGAAAGAGGGAAGGGCAGTCCAGGGGAGAGAACATGAGTAAAGCACATTCACAGAATGGACATGGTCTAAATCACTTAGAAAATGAGAGCATGGAGTTGGAAGGGTGGCTGGAGCAGTTTTCAGAGATAAAGTCATGGAGAGTCTCGAATACCTAGGTGACAGGGAGCTAACAAAGAGGTTTAAGCACGGGAGAGATAGGGTTTGTCTAATCATTCTCTCTGACTGTAAGGTGGAGATAGGTGGGTAGAGGGGATATGGGGGGAAAGCTGTGGTTTAGAGGAGAGATGATGATGCTAGGATTCTGCTAGCTGCAGAGTTCCAAACAGGAGGGCACAGAGCAATGTTCTTTAGCAGGCGGGAGCTTCGGGACCTGTCCAGTAATTAATCGCGAGTCTTGGGAGAAACAGGGTCTAGGAGGCCCCGTCTCCATTTCTGGCTTACTCCAGAAGCCCTGAGGATGGAGTTAGGGAGAGACACCAGAGGAAAAGCAGGTTTGGGGAAGTCTTTGGATGAGTTGGCACTCAAAGAAAAGCATGAGAAGACAAGAGGGCTCTGAATAACCTTTAGAGACCCAACTTTCAGAGAATCAGCGAGGTCACCTTCTGGGAAAGAGTACAAGGGCTTGAGTGGGCAGGAGGTGGGAGTTGGGATTTTTCTCTGCCCCTAATGTAAGCATTGAGGCCTCTCACTCCCCAGATCAGGTCAACAAGCTGATGCAGATCTGCTGGGTGCCAGCCTTGTTGTTTGGGTCCTGGGGACCAAATACTGATAGATCAAACCAGAGGCCTACCCTTAGGAACAGTTTGGTTAGGGGAATGACCACCACCACATAAAGCAGCAGACACCTCTCAGTGGGATGTGCAGTGAGAGGAGCACACAGAGGAGAGTGAAAGGAGGCCCCTGGAGACTGTCCTGGAGCGTCAGGAAGGTTTCCCCTGGGAGACTGTTCCTGGCAAGGTGGGGAGGGGCGGGCGGCAGCTCATGAGTAGGTGGGGAGCAGCTGTGTGAAAGATCATGGCTCATCCTCTTCATCCCAGCACCTGGGATGGCCTCATCAGGTTTCGTCTTCTCCTTCTGGATGCTCAGGTACCCTGCTGACTGCACCCCAGCACACCGCGATTGGGGCACACCCTGTCTCCATGCCAACATACAGGGCCCAAGGGACCCCTGCGTACAGCTATGTGCCCCCGCACTGGTAAAGCCTGCGCCCATCCAAGTGAGTGGGGCCCGGGTGGGAGAGGTGGGAGGGTGATCAACTAGCAGAACTATCTCAAAGCCCCCGGCTTGGCCTGCAGCACAGGTGTCAACAGGGGGTAGGTGACAGTTACTAGTTGCTTTCCTGCTCCAGGTTCAGCAATATCACTCTTTATGATAGCTGTCATTTCTGTATATTCTAGATACTTTACATATGTTATCTCATGATCTGCACAGTAGCTCTGTGAAGCAAGGATCTTCACTATTTTACAGATGAATACATAGTTTAGTATCATTTAACTAGTAAAAATTAAGCTGGGACTTGAACTCCAATCCTCTAGTACTAAATTTTGTACTGTTTACTGTATGGTCTTCAGACTTCTTCTAACTGTGGGCCTATCCTTCCAATGAGCTTTTATCTCAGTCAGATGTTGGCTCTGACTGGGGCCAGGCAGAAACCCTGGGTCACCCTCGCCACCAGGCTCCCCCGTCCTCTGCAGATCCTGAGGCAGTAACAGTGACCTGTAGGGCTCCAGGGATGTCACTGAAAATCACTGCTATGCCTCCTTGTCTCCAGCTCTCGGCACTGGATGGGAAATGGGCCACTCCACTGGGAAGGCACAGAGGACTCCATTAAGGGCTCTTAGCATGAGGGGAGGGGGTCCAGGATCTTCCTGGAGGGCCTCAGGAATACCACTGTCACTAATGGCTTTCCCCTTCCTCCCCCAGACCTGGAGTCACACATTGTATGCAACTACTCGAGTCTTACACAGGTGCTGGAGCAGCTCCCTAGCAGCACCGCCTCTATTTGCAAGAAGAGACAACGGAAGTGCAAGGGTCACTTTATGCATCTTTAACGGTTTTGGTTTTTATTTTTGGTTTTTGTAAAAGCTGCTTTTTCTAATCTCCTGCCTCTCCCCACTGTCCCCCTCTCTGAGCCGATGCCCTCCCAGCTCCACCCTTCTCCTACCTGACCAGGCACATCCTCTCTGCTCCTTTCCTTCCCCAAGCATCCAGCCCTGGGAGCCTAGTCTAGCAGCAGGCAGAGAGTGGGGTCTGTTGCAGTGGTTCAGCTGAAGGTGCAATTTCCTTTGAAGAGCATAGCGGATGTGACTCTTGGGTCCAGGGTAGGAACTCAGAACTGTTGAGCAAGCCACATCTCTGAGGGATGGTTTCTTTTTTTATTTTTCTCAAGCAGGATTAGTTTAAGACATTGCTGTATCCTGATACAAATGAAATATCTTCTGATATTTCTGAGAACCATCGCAACAGACCAAGAACAAAACCACCTGATTAGGTAGGAGTGTTCATAGCAGCTTAATAATACCCCAGATGAGAACCTGGGAAAACCAGATTTTTTCTTTGGGAGAACTTGAGGGAGGGTGGGGGGAGGGGGGCAGTGTGGGAAGGCAGAGGGAAGAGAGTCGAGAGGCCCTTGCCTGCTGGCTTTGGCTTGTAAGGTCTCTGGCCAAATTGTCTGGGCCTGGACCCTCTAATTTGCACAGTGATGTTAACTGACCTGGCACTTCCTCAGAAGATGATTATTGACCTCAGACCTGCCAAGCAGCTGCAGGATGGTGGGATCCCAGCTTCCCAAAGCCTCGGAGGCCAGGTGCCCAGTGTACTCTAGACCTTGGCCTCTGAGCCTTCATGGATCCACTCTGGTGAGGAGCTTGCTCCTGAGTAGAGTGGAAACCTGTGGCATTTCTCTCCCTTCCCTTTGTCCTTCCCAGAGCCAGGGCTCACCCGTCTGTCCATGGCGCTGGCAGACAGGCTAAGTTCTCGGTTACCTTGTGCCATTCGTGGCCAAAGTGAAGGAACCACATTCCAGGTGGGTGCTGGTGGCTCTGGAGGTCAGGATAGTGAAGGAAAAGCAATAGCAATAAACATTTCATCGACTCATGGAACTGAAGGGACCTTAGCAATCATCTCATCCATTCCCCTATTTGACAGATGAGGAAGCTGAGGCCCAGAGAAGAGAAAAGGACTTCCCTAGACCTTGCAGTAAATTAGCATTAAATGCAACCTTCCTGCCTGGGGCATGTTGCCCACAAAAATTTACTTAGGAATGGATTGGCTTGGCTTTGTAAAAATGAAACCAGCAGTGCCCACACCTGATGAGCTCTGGAACAGTCTCTGGGCTTTTGTTTCTGCTCTTTTCCTCCATGGATTTCAAAGGCAGAGGTTGAAGACTTGGCCAAGGTCACATGGGGGCAGATGGCAGGAACAGAAATTGCAAATGAGGAAATAGCATTTGGAAATTCTGTGAAGACATCTGGACCTCTCATCCTATACCTGACTCCAGCCCTTGGAGGAGCAGGTGGACTGGCTGAAAAAGAGTCCATGCTGTTAAGACAGTAGCCCCTCATCCTGAGAGGAGAGGAGGAAACATGGGCTCTCTGGGGAGAAGAGGGACCCCTGTGTCAGGAGGCCCCATTGGTCTCAGCCAGGAGCCCAGCTGTCTAACACTGCCCGCCTGCACCTGGCACTTGGCTGGGCTAGCAGCCCCTTTGGGGATGGTTGGCGGGGGTGCGGGGGGGGGCAGTGTGCACAGGAACATTTTACTGTACAAAATGGGATCATTGATAACATTTAGAACTTCTAAATAACTCTCTTCATTTTAAATTCATGCATATGTGGATATATCCCTACCCCTACCTCCCATGTCTTCCTAAAGGAGGAGGTAATCAGGAAACCCCTGGGCCAGGAGGACCTCAGAGGCTATCTGGCTGTTCCCAGGGGTGCACAGCCCAGTAGCATCCTCCACCTGGGAAATGCAGGACCAGTAGGGAGAAGCCCCGCTGTTCTAAACGGTCTGCTCGGGGGTGCTGAAAAGGTTTTGGTTTAAAACAATAGAAAGTTTTCCAGTGTTAATCCTTTTTTCTTTTTTTGGCAAATACCTCCTCCTACTCTCTGGTTGTATAAGGGTGGGTGAAGGTTGTTTTAGATTATGTCATACATGTTTAGAAAATGCCAAAATAATAATAATGATTATAATAATAATAGGAAACATTTGCATTTGTCAGGTGCTTCATAGATGCACTTCACAGCCTTTAATTTACTGACCCTGAGGGAAAGACAAGGTCAGAGTTATTTCACCCATTTGACAAATGAGGAAACTGGTCCTATTTAATAGCAGGAAAGGGAACTTGCCCCAGAGTGAGCAGAATGCTGGCACCCCAACAAGCTCCCCTGAACCCCGCTGCCTCCAAATGGGCTGGGGCAGAACCAGAGGAGGGGAAAAGAGATCTAGGAATTACCTTTTTACCTTTGTTCATTCTGTACCAGTATGTATAAACTAACATCTAGTACCTCACAGTTTTTCACAAAGCAATTTCATATCCGTCATCTGGTTTAACCCCGTGAAACAGACGATTCTCTCATTTGATCCATGAGGAAACTGAGACTTGGAAAGGCAGAGTGACTTGCTTGTAAGTGGCAGAGCCATTTGAATCCCAGTCTGTGGTCTCTTTCCCTCCAGTCTGACTCCACACACGGGCTTGTGGACTGAAACTCAATGCTGTGCACTCTCTCCTGGCCCTTGTATGTAATTCAAGATCAAGGACAGACCCCAAGGCAAAAACAAGATGTGGAAAGGCTGGGATCCGTCTGAGCACTGGAGCCCCAGTTCAGCTGGCCTCACCCTCTTGCTTTGACGGAGATCCACAAGCCTGGCCAAGCTTGGGGAGTCATTGCAGAGGGACAGAGCCCAGGAGAACGAGGCAGTAGTGTGCCTGTGGTAGGATGAGTGCACGTGATAGGATCACAGGCATCCATCACGAGGTACCATGAGCATCATCCACAGATACTGGATGGCCCAGTGGTCAAGCTGGACAGAATGTCAGAGCTTGAGGGGCCCTGTCATTTTAGGAAGTCCAGCAAGCCAGAGAGGACAAGGGGTGTGCCCACATGACATTTGAGCTGCAGCATGGCACCAGCAAAGCCCTCTCTCCACCCCATTCCACTGCTTCTCGCCAGTGCCCTAAGCTTGGTGGGCAGGGTTAGGGGTACAGGTGGTTCCAGTCACCAGCCAACCCTCACGGCTTCCCCCACTTCTGCCTGCCTCCCCCTCAGCCTGGGGCCCAGGAAGCTGGAGTCTGGAAGCTGGAGTGCCCCCAAGTGCTAAGAGCCTGAAATTTAATCTTTCTGCTACATTTTGGAAAAATTGATTTCCTTTCTTCCTCGTGAGACAGGACAGTCGCTCTTCCTCTCTCTCCTGGCAGTGACTGTAAAGTGCATATCCCCTCCCTATATATTGAAAAAGGACACTCACCTGTCCAGAGTTTATTGTCTGTGTATGAAGTACTTTGACATTGATTGCCAAAATTCCCATTTATAGATGGAAAAAACTAAGTCTCTGAAGGCTTAAGAGAGTTGCCAAAGGTCACACAGCTCATCAGAGAAAGGGCCAAGATTTGAACTCTTCAAATCCTCTGCTCTTTCTACTGACACCTGCAGGCCTCGGTAGCCAGCATGCAGAAGGGATGGGCTACCTGTCTGCCCCTAAACAGAGGAAGACTCCAGGGAAACCTGGGAAGTCAGTCTTCCCCGCTGAGCGGACTTTTATGAGGATCCCAGAGGCATTTCCAGCTGGCAGCACTTGAAGGACAGGAACTTGCAATAAGAGGCCTAACTTGAGCAAAGCACTTTGGAGGTCATGATGCCTAGGACTGAAGATGTGTTCAGGGGCAGCCCTGGGCACCTGTCCATTGAAAGACCTATGTCCTTAGGAAGCCTGTGTACCCTTGCTTTTTGACCATGGAGACCCAGCCCACTATTCCAGACCCAACAAGTTGGCACTTCCAGGGGACCTGGTGTAGCCCTAAATGGCCAAAAGTACATCTGAATCCAGTCCCTGGGCTTGTTCTTCCCAAGGCTGAGGACCAGGATCTAGAGAGACACTGTGCGGTCCTTCCTCCTTGTCCCAGCTCTTACCCTTGGCCACCTAAAGTGTTCCAGAGATCTGGGGGGTGTCTTCAGAGAGGCTGGCTTTGTTCCAAGTACCCTTCAGGAATGAATCACACGGAGCATAGGCGTAGTGCCGATCCTTTGGTCACCAAGTTCTGATGTCCTCACTGTGCAGACAGGACTCAGCCAGAGGTCCAGAGAGGCATTGGCTGAATCAGGCCTGGAGCCCTGCATGTCAGACCCTCAGCTCTGCTCTGAGGGAGGCCAGAGAGGGAGGCCTAGAGGGGAACAGGTCTTGGTCCCAGCACTGTGGCTGGATCAGTCACTGAGATGTCACCATGGCATTTGCTCCTCAATTGCAGTTGACAGTACACTTGGAAGCTCTGCTTTTCACCCTGTATTCCACAGCACTGTAGGGTGTGTGATCCCCAGCTGATTGCCAAGCCTGGGAATCCAGAGAGGGCAGGCTGGGCAGTGGAGGGGCAGGCTCCATGCTGGTGTCCAGCCCCAGGAGAATCCAGGCTAGACTTACCTCCAAAACCTGGATCACATTGGAGACCCAGCCAGGCTATTGGATTCCACAACTGAGCCTCTGAGAGCTCAGCCTCCTTTGGTTGTGCCAGGTTGGCAGCAGGATTTGTCCTTTACCTGTCCACGTCCCCTTCTAGAAAACCTGTTTCTGAAATTAGGCATTACATGGTTCTAGGGCCTGCCTTTAAATTTCCTGGCAGGCCAGTTTCAACATTCCATAACCAACCTTGCCTGAGCCAGACTTGGGTCTCATTCCCTCACTTTCTCCAATGGGTATTTTCTACCTTGTGTGCTGTTGAGTCCAGCCCAGTGGCCAGGTGATTGGGACTGGCTGCCACAAAGCCAGGAAGGGAAACTAGAACGCTTGCTTCCCTGTGGCTGCATCCATAGTCCCTGGGTCTTCTTGCTGTGGCAGTGAGGCCCTATACCCAGTCCAGCTCCTGGTAGAGGGGCTATTTTCCTTTTTTGAAGAGAACACAACAGCTTTGCTGATAAGTACCAGCCCATAGGCCTCAAATGGGTGAAGTCATCTTTGGGCCTGACCCCAGCAAGACCAGCATCTCCAGGCTCCAGCCTTCCTCCTCATGCCTGAGAGTCAGGGAAAGAGTGGGACTGGCCAGAGACCACCTTCTTGGGTCAGCCAGCTTGTCTGGATCTATGGTGGGACTGCAGCTCTTCCTTACCCAAGGGGAGGTAAGGCCAGGCCTCTAGCAACGTGGCGTTGTCTGTCATGACCTTTAAAGGCCAAAGGGCCTGTCCCCGTCTCCTGACTAAAAGGCATCTGCATCCCTGTTCATATCACACGACGGAGAAACTTGTTCTTGTGGCATGTACCATCCCTGTGAGAGAGCGTTGTATATGATTTTGTATTTTTTAATTCATTTTAATCTACAGGTTGGAATCTAGTTTTTAAATTTTATTGGAGCTCACATTTTAAAAAGAAAAACATTTAAAATAATAATAATAAACCTTTGACCGGTGTCTTCCAAGTAGTTTGAGCAAAGAACTTATAGGTGTTTTCAAAACACAGCCTGGAGTGTAAAGAGTGGAAAGCCCCGCGGCCTCGCTTGTGTGTATGAAGTGTAAATCTGGTTTTGTTCTGTTGTTTTGGATTCTTTTGGGTTTTTGTTCCGTTTTGTTTTGAAGATCAGATAGTGATCACTCTGAAAGATTGAAGCCAAGAATTTGTAACTATGATATTTACTGTAAGCTGTAGAACATTCAATAACTATTAAAAAAAGTTTCCAAAAAAAAAAAAAGTCTGGAGTGACCAGACTTGGTGGTTCTTGGGAGAGGGAGACACAGACACCTCTTGGGTCAGTGAGTGTCCCCTGGGCTTCTCCCAAGTTGATTCTAAACTTGTTTTCACCAGTCAAGAGATACGTACGCTGCATCTCCGGGGGAAGTGGCCATCAGTACTTGGGCTAAGGTGTGTGATGCAGGAGTGCAGGGAAGCCATGAATGATGGAGGCTGCATCTACTGAGTGCCCACCGTGTGGGCAGTACTGTGCTTTATGCTTGGTGACGGTTAATCTTCACGGCAGGATGGGAGGTGAGCCCTGTGGTTAGCCCTGTCCTTTGGAGGGGGAGCAGCTGAGGAGAGTGAGTACCTTGGCCAAGGTTACAGAGCTAGTGAGGGGCAGAGCTGCAACTTACACTTGGTCTGGCTCCAGAGCACAGGTACCAAGCCCCAAGTTCTCTTGCCCACCCTGGAGGAGGCAGTGCCTACATCCACTTAAAAGGACAGGCTAAGCAGTTTGTAGTCCCAGAAGGATGGCTGAAGGTGGTAATATGGTCTCCATCCAAATGGTCATCATGTGCTGTCAGTTTTATTTATGTCCAAAACATCTCTAATCTCCCTTCTAGGCAAAGCCACTGCCCTGGTCCAGGCCTGGATTTCCCTCCCTGGTCATCGCGGCCACTGTTCCTTCCTAGGGCCTGGCTCCCGCCGTCCACGCTTTACCAGCCTCCCAAGTATTCAGCTTCCTCAACTGGGGAGAATCCTTGAGGCCCAAAGAGGCTAAGTGACCTGGCTGTAACTAACAGTCTGGAGCCCTCCCCACCAGACCACCCCGGGCCTCCACAGAACCTGCCACCCCTATGGGGGCAGAAAGCTCTCAGGGTGGTCAGGGATGGTGTTCCTGGGCTGTCACAGCAGTTCCTCCTGGACAGGAAGGGGACACACTCCAGGTCAGTGGCAGGGCTGGGGCCAGGAGCAGGTGGGAGGCAGAGACCTGGGCCCCGGCACCCACCATTTTAGCCCATGGAGGAGGGGAGGTGGAGTGAGACGAGGTTAAGCTCAGAACTGTCCTCAGTGGTCACCTGGGGCCCCACCTTGTCCTCCAGTTCCCACCCCTGCCAGCAGCCTCGGCCCACCTTCAGCTCAAGAGTAGGCTTTAGAGCCAGGAAAGCTTCCAGGTGAGAGGGAGGGGTCCTTAGGGTCAACCACATCAGACACACCCCTCCCTGGTCCTCAGCTCCTCATCTCCCTATTTTGGGAGGTGGCTTCAGGATCCCCCAAGGGTCAAATGAAGAGACTGGGGCCAGTGCCATTCCTTTTCCTCACCTTCCAGCAAGCAGGGAATTGGGTGGTAGGCATGGCCTGGAGGTGACCAGTGCTTACTACCCCAGGGGCCAGCACTGAGATGGGTGTCCACTACCTCACCTGGGAAGCCCAGACCCAGCCTCAGTCTCCACCGTCGCTGGCATCTGTATGCGCCTCATCCCAGAGACCGGAGGCCAGAGGGTGGGAGGGTCAGCCTCCCCTTTCACCCAGGGCACTGTCTCGTCCTCATCTGTGTGTCATCCAGGCCCTCGGTGAAGTGGGGTTGGTTGGCTCAGGGAGCAGCCAAGTCTAAGAAGCCACACCCTGGCAAGTAGGGACACCAAGCACCATGGTGGCCCCAGGGAACATTCCTTGGGTGCACTGGTGATGCCCGCTGGTCCCCTACAACACTGCTCTAGACTGGAGCTCCAGATGATGCTGATGCTCTGATGCTGAACCTCTGATGCTCCAGAAAATTCCTCCTGATGTCCAGCCCGTATCCTTCCCTCCCCTCTTTGAGAGCAGGTCATGCTTTGTCTCCTGGATCCTCAGAGGTGCCCTCCCTTTCCTGCCCACCTGAGAAGCTGCAGAGAGAGAAGCCTGTGCTCTAGAGAGGTGAGAGGAAGGGAGAGATTGAACCTCTACTCGAATCTGCCCAGCCTCCCCTCGGGGCAGGAGTTTTCTCCACAGCTGCCAGGCCGGGCCCTGCCATGGCTTCTGCCCCATGTGAAGTCAGGCTTCAGGCAGACCCAGCATGGCCACTGCCGTCTCCCAGGTGCAGCAAGCCTGAGCCTTCCCAGGGTGTCCCCTCCCACCACCACCACCCCCACCTCAGGTTCCAACAGGCATCACTTATTGGTTCTTCAGCCTCTCCTTGAGCCTCTTTCCCATTAGTGTTTAAATAAGTCTCCTTCCATCTTTAAAAACCATACCAAACACCAAAAGAACCTATAATTAACTAAAAACCCCTCTCCCTGAAGCCCATACCTGTGGTTGGACTGCAGCTCTTCCTTACCCAAGGGGAGATGAGGCCAGATGACCTGTGAGGCCGCCTCTGGCCCCACTTCACCTGGTGCCCCACCTGCCAAACAGCAGACACTGGCAGGGGAGGGATGGCCTGGCCCACACACAGGGCCCGACACAGAACTATGCAGTGAGCCAGGCAACCTGGGAAGAGACACAGGACAAGAAGCTCCTCCTGATACTGCTTTCCCACATTTTTATTATTCAACAAACAGATGGGTATGGAGACACAAGGATGGACAACAGCCAAGTTTCAATAAATAAGAGAAACGGGGACAGCCATGGGCCCGTGCCTGCACAGCCCCACATAAATAACGAGACTGCTGAGCCAGAGTGGAGATGGAGGCGGGGCAGTCGCCTGCACTGCCCAGGCGAGGGGACAGACACCAACACCGCAGGGACACAAACCAGGGCCAGAGGCCCCTCTCCAGCCCCATCACACACACCACTTTCCCTCTGAAGCGCCTGAGACCTTGGGGGTGGCTGGGGCTCTGCACCACAGTCCTGCCCAGGTCAAGTCTGTTTCCTCAGGTCCAATAAAAACAGCAGGGGCAGGGGCAGGCACATGCATTTAGGCCCCTTATGTATGCAGAGCCACATTCAGGCAGCCCCGGGGGAGACTTGAAGGCAGAGGCCCTGAAGCAGCAAGAACGGGGTCAGATAAAGCTACTAGTGGGAGGGGCGGCGTGGAGTCAGCTCTCCAGTCCCACAACCCAGCCCAGAGCCTGCAAGGCGGGAAAGCCCTGCGCGCTGAAACGCCGCTACCCCCACTTCACAGTCAAAAGAATGGGACCCAGTAATGGCCAGGGGCTTACCCTAGATGAGAACCCAGAACTCAGCTCCTAGCCCAGGTCCTGTAAAGGACCTGTCAGAAAAGGAGGGAGCGGTCCCCCTACAGAGGCAAGGGGTGGGGCCAGGGGTGCCAGGGAGAGGGCCCCTCCCCACCACCAAGGCCCAGCCGCCCGGTGGAGCAGAGGTCAGGGCAGGGCACAGGCTCAGGGACCTGCGGGGAGGGAAATGGGTGGCAGGGACAGGAGAGGCCTCCGCCTGCTCCTGCACACAGCACCCGCCGGCCGGCCTGCCCGTCTCCTCACCGGGGTGGACACTCCCACCTCCAGGCCTTGGCGGTTTTGTCTGCTGGGCCTTCCTGGATCCTCACGGGCCCAGCTGCAGCTCCGCCTCCTCCAGGAAGCCTTCGGAACCGCCCAGGGCAGGGCTGCAGGGTCCTCAGACAGGACAGCCCCTCAGATGACCAGATTGCTCTCACTTAGCCGGACCACATAGCGGTTCTCCTGGGTACAGGGGTGAGGGGTCAGAGCTGTCAGGGGGCTTCTGGCTCCAAGAAAGCAGCCCTTGCCCAGCGCCCTCTGTACCCCGACCCCTGCCTCGTCGGCCAGGGGAGTGGCCCAGGTGCTGACAAGACATGTTCCCACTCAGTCCTCACCTCGGCCTTGTTCTCTGCTGGGGGCTTCGGCCACTTAGCGTGGCTTCCACCACTTCCCAGAAGTGCGCGCTGCTCACTGGGGAGGCCAGGTCCTGGGGAGTTGGGGAGCTCACCCCCTGAAGGCCCAGCCTCCGTGATGGTCTTCACTTCAGAGCCCACTGAACTCATGCGCTGCTCGGGAATTCGGGCCACACGGAACCTGTGAGGAGCAGCAATGCTGTCTTGCCCCGTTAGAGGGGGATCCTCAGGTGTGGAGAGCGCAGCACCGCCAGGGTGGCACAGCAAGTTCCTGGATCAGAGCCTGAGTCCCCCCGTGTCTTCCCACCCACTGCCGGGCTCCCAACTCTAGGCTGCGTGTGGCCAGGCTCTTAGGTGTTATGGGGGCCCAGGTGTTATCGGGGCGAGGACCCTGGCCACCCCCACTGCAAAGAGAGGCCCACTGAGGCCAGGAAGGGTGGGGCTGCCACTGAACTCGCTGTTCACGGATCGACCTAGGGCCCTGCCTCCCCCACAGCCATCAGGCATCACCTGTGGTCTCTGCCCTCCTCACCTGCCCACAGATAAGATGGTGATCTCGCCCTGGCGTCCGGCCTTGGCCCCGGTCTTGGGGGTCCTGGCTGGGTTGGGCAGGAGTCTGGGAGTGGGGGTGGTGGCAGCTGCGGCCTCAGGGGACAGCAGCACCTCGGGCCACTTCTTCTGGCTACAACGTGAGCAGCTGGGGCCCGAGAGTGAGGCCAGGCCCTGCACGGTGTGGAGGTGGTGGCGATGCGGGCAGACGTGCGGCATGCTGGGTGGGCCCGGCGGCAGCCTGTGGGGGACACAGGCGGGAGGGTCACCGGGGCGGGGCAGGCGCAGGAGACCCCGGGAGGTAGTGAAGGGTAATCGGGTGACAGGAGGGGAGACGCACCCCAGGGGCGAGTCCCCGGGAGGCAGGCTGAGGACCTGCGGTCGGGCCGGCATGCCCGCTCACCTGGGCAGAGGCCGGTGGCTGGTCTGCACCAGCTGTCGGCTGTGGTACTCCTTCAGCAGCTCCTCCAGCGCCGCTGCATTCTCTGCGGGCAGCTGTTATCAGAACCTGGCTCTGGGCAGCCAGGGAGAAACCCCCGCACCGACCCCCTGCCCACTCACCGCTCCCCAGCCCGGGCTGTGTGCCTTTTCCTCCCCCGCTCACCAAGCAAGGAAGGGGGTGGCACCGTCAGCCTGCTGGTCAGAGGGCCAGGCTGGCCTGAGGCGTCGCGGCGGGAGGGGCAGAGCAGCGCTCTCGGACAGGGGTGGGGTCAGACCTTCCTCCTCACCTTTCTTCTCTGTGATTAGGCGCACCAAGACCCCGATGGTGTCCTCATTGGCGTCCTCGGTCCGGTAGGCAGGGTTGATCCCTGGAGAAGAGAAAGAACCACCATGATTCTAGGGAAGAAGTGGGTGGAACACACTCCTGGCTCGCCAGCTACACCAAGGTTTGGCAGCAGGGGGCGCCGCAGGCCTGGGTGTGTGCGCGCCTACGGCCTCAGCTCTGGCTGAGCTGTTACCACCTTCATCGCTCAGCACCGCTGCTCCCCGCACCCAGCAGCCCCAGGTGCCGGGTGGTTTCAGGGCCATCTGAACTCCACCATCCTGCACAGATGTGTGGGGTGGGGGCCAGCCTCTCCTAGGGCCTGCCCTCTCCTCAGCCTCAGGGAGCTGTGGGGACCTCTCTGCCCAGAACCCCCTCAGCCCCAGCCCACTGCCTTTCTGGGCCTGTCACGCCCTGCACACTGCCCTGTCTTCATAATTAACCGAGGGCCCAGACCTCAAGGGCACAAGAATGGGCCATACAATCAATCCTGGGCCAGCAGCAGAGCTCCCAGGACTTGCACCCAGGCAGCAGCCAGCAAGTTAAAGGGAGTCCAGGCTAGGAAAACAAGTGCAGTTCCAGGCTAAATGGCCTGCCCAAAGTCCCCGTCCTGTCCCCCTCCTGGCCCTGCGAAGTCAGAAGCTGGAAAGGGGACTGGCATGGGAGGCGCCATTCAATCTTGACTCGGCCACTATGTTCTGTGAACAGAACCATGTGCGTGTGGAGTCCCTGCCCTGCTGGCTCTCAGGGGACAGCATGGGGAGGTAAGGGAGAAAAGAAAAGGGCTCCAAGGCCCTAAGGGAGGGGCAGAGGAACATGTCTTTCCCTTTGGTTCCAGGACTTGTAACTCAAACCACAGCCTGAAGCTGAAACCTGAGCCTCTCATGGTGCCTGTCCAGGTCAGCTGCCCTGCCAGCCCTTCAGGCCAGAGGCCAGAGGTCACCCTGAGTACCCAGGAGGCAGTCTAACCTTTGAACTATACACACAACTGCAGCCCCAAAGGGGTCCAGACTCCTCCAGCTGGGAGGGAATCCCGCTGCAGCCCCTTGACCTCCTCTCTGCCTGTTCTGCCCCAGTTGCCAGCTTGGACCATCTCAACCTCCCTTCCACTTTATCAGTTTGCCCACATGCCACATCTCCAGAAAATTCTCCTGATCACCCTTCCAGGCCAAGTAGATTCCCTCAGGTGACCCCAAGCTGAGCTAGGCTGGGCCAACCTGGGCCCTCTGGCCTCCCCACCCGACCCCCGGCTGGGCCTCACCGCTGCCTCCGCCTCCGGGGCCAGGCCCGACCTCCTTCTGGGCTGTGCAGTGGTAGCCCTTCCGCTTGAGCAGGTTGCACACCAGGATGCCCAGCAGCCCCATGAGACAGAAGATGGGCACGATGGCGATCACTGCGTACTGGGCAGCCGTCTCCTCGGGGCTGCCTGCCCGCGTGCTGTTCCCAGGCTGCCTCATCTCCCCTGCACCGCCGGCCCCTGCAGCCACCTCCACGCCACGTCGGGCCCGTCGCCCCCGTTCTGAGCAACACGGAAGACGGAGGCAGGACAGAGGCAGAGAGAGGCAGACACTCAGAGAGGCCCAGGGCTGAGTCACGGGGCAGGGGTAGGGTTTGCGGTACTGACATGTCCTCAGCCACCCACTGTCCACCACTTTGGGGAAGCCGAGGCCAGGTCATTCTCCTCCTTTTGGGCCATCTGACCATCAGGATGGCCAGACCCTGAGCCCCACATCTAGGCCAGAGGGGTAAACAAAAGGCAACAGTGCACACGTGCCTGTGCACAGGGACACCAGATCCTGCCTCTCCACAAACCTGGCCTGTGAGTTAGTTTCCTCAGAAAGGGACCAACTCAACGGGTGAGAGGAGGTGCATGTGTGAGTGCATATGCTCACACTCGTCCATGTGGGTCGTTTTGAGGGGGAGAGGGAAGGACAGGAGACAGGTTGGTATGTGAGCCCCCAGCATCTGCTGGACAGTCTCTGCCCCTCAGAGACGGAGAGAGAAGAGACAGCCAGCCGACCAAGTGACCATGTCCTGCTGGATACCCTGGGCTAGGGGAGTGAGGATCCCACTGCCCCAGACGGACGCAGAGGGGCCCTCGGGCTCAAGCTCGCTAGACCCCTTCCCACACATGTCCCCACCAGGCTCAGCCTGCACTCACCGTAACAGCTGCGGGTGCCCAGAGGGGTCCGGGAGCATGGTTGACAGGGAACACCGGGGACCTCTGAAGGAGAAAACCACCTGCAGGGAGGGAAGATGTTACCAAAGCCCAAAAACCATCCTTCAGAGAGGCTGGACCATCCCCCTGGGCACCCTCACTGGTCCTGACCCATCCCATTTCACAGATGGGAAGTCTGAGGCCCACTCAAGGGACGAGTGAGGCTGAGACCCCAGGATCTCAAGCCCTGGTCACGAACCCCCTGGCTCCACCCCAGGGGTGGCTCACCCAGGCTGGCAGCCTCCACACAGCGCGTCTTGAGTTGCCGTGCCCACCTGGGCCTCAAGCCTCCCTCGACGGCTGCAGCGTGAGTGGGGCTGGCATGGGCGAGAGCCCCAGGAGGCTGAGAAGGTGCCTGGGGGGCAGGACCTGCACAATGGGCCCTGCCCTGGTTCCTGCAGGAGGCAAAGAGTGAGGACAGAGCCAGGAGCCGGGCCTGGGGTCCCTGCCCCAGCCCTCGACAGCCTTCCCAGGCGAGGCCGATGGGCAGGGCGGGCTTACCAGGTTGGGCTCCTCCCCAGGCGGGCACGGCCGAGGGGCTGTCGATGCGGCAGTGGCCAGAGGCCAGGGCAGCAGCTGGAAGAACAGAGGGCAGGAAACACTCAGGGGGCGGAGAGCACTGGGGCGTGTCTGCACCGGGCCCACCGACCCACCGCCCGACACCCAAGGCCAAGGACCTCAGGTTACTGGGCTGCCCCGGCCCCGGGGACACTCTCGAGCTGCAATCCCTTGTGCTACGAGTCCAATCTGCCTGTGTCAGCCCTGCTGCATCGCCACTGCCCAGGCAAGGAGAGGACCACATCTGCTTCTGGAAAGTGCCGGAAAGCCCCCGACAGGGCCAGGTCAGGCTCTCGAGCCCTTGGGTCTTTGAGTCACACCCTTTAAGCTAATCTGGACAATGAGAAGGACATTCTTCCGAATTCCTCAAGTTCCTCCCCACTTCCTGCTTGCTGCTTTGGCCCCCACATCACAGCTGAAAATGTCATTAACCAGCCTCATTTCATCATCCCTGGGGCTGAGTCTACAGGTGGTGCTTCTGGGCCCTTGGCCGAGGCTCTGGGACCATATCCTCCTCCGTGAACTCCCTGCCACACAAGGCCGGCCCGTTCACAGCCTGGCACCCACACAGGGCATGACAGGTCCCAGGGGAAGGATCTTCTCAATTTGTGTCCCATCCATTCCTCTTGGAGCGCCCTCTTTTCTCATTCCAGGTGTGAACTATCTGCCCTGAATCCCCTTCCTCCAGTCCGCTGATGGGGCCCCCGCAGAGTAGAGCCGGCTGCCCTGAGGGCAGAGGGATGGCACATGGGGGGCGTGAGGGACCTCCTCAGGCTCCAGACCGAGCTCCAGCACGTGCCGAGCACTGGGAGGCCAGGGGCACCAGGAGAAGCGTGGCCAGACTGTCTCTGCTGCTCAAAGGAAGGGCTGCGTAACCGACCCCAGCACCCACCACGGCACGAGGCTCCTGAGGGCTCAGTCTCATCCCCACTCACCACGAGGAGACAGGAAAGGGGCCAGGGCGGCGGGCTCAGCTTCATCCTCAGGCCCCAGCGGGTGGAGACAGAACACAGGCGGCCGCTGTCCTCCCGGTGTGTGTTCCTGGACGGGGCTGGACGGGAGGGAAGGTGGGGAGATGGTGCTGCGCAGGCAGAAGGCTGGGGCAGCCTCCCAGGGCAGCACAGGATTGGGAGGCTTCCCGGGGGAGGAGGGCTTCCAGCCTCTTCTGTGAACAGCCAGCTGCCCCAGGCCAAGCAGCGAAGCGTGGGAAGAAGGGACCAACAGCTTCAGGCCAGAGTGGGAGGAACGAGAGGGCTGGCAGCGCCCCCACGCCCAGCCTCTCTACTCGCATCCTCAGCTCTCAGGGCTCCCACCTCTCAGAACTGCGGGGGCCGCGAGCATGCCCGCCTCTCCTGCTTGCCTGCCTTCACTCTGGCTATTTCTGCTCCAAGGAAAGGCCTGCTCCATCACACTTCAAAGCCCAACACCAAGGCCTCTCCTGCTGGAGGCTCCTCTAGACTTCCTTTTCCCCTAAGTGCCTGCCTGTGGCCTCCCCAAGCCCAACTCCATCACAGCCCCAGTCCCTCCACGGGCCCCACCGTCCACACTCGGCCGGCTTCTCCAGAGCGCCGGGCCTGCACCTCAGAGCACCAGGCAGACCTGCAGGGACAGGGGACGGGGTGGTCGCGGCAGCCCGCATGCAAGCCTTCCGTCTTCTCCCAGGCACCTACTGTGTGCTGGGCACTGCCCGCAGCAAGGGTATGAACAAGACAGACACTGCCCCTGTCCTCAGGCAGCTCACAGCCCAGGAAGACCTGCGAGCGACGGATCAAGCGTGCGCTGAGACAACAAGTATGGCACACGGGGTGCGGAGCGTGACGGGCACTGGCCTCACCGGGAGGAAAGTCTCCCGCGGCAGACAAGGCTGAAGAGCAGGGAGGAGGATTTGGCTTAGACGACAAAAGGGACAGCGGCAGAGCCAGGGAGTCCCGTGACGTCCCCCCGGGAGGCCGCACTTTAGGCTCGGGAGGGAGGGAAGGAAGGTCTCGGGCAGCCGGAGACCCCCGCGGGGCAGCCTCGAGCAGCCAAGCCCAGAGCCTGGAGGGGCCCCCCTGGAGCCTCGGGGTCTGATGGGCTGCCTGGCAGCACAAGCACTGCCCGCGGTAAAGCCCAGGTCACAGGAGAGCCCCTAGGCCTACAAGCACCCGGGACTTCCCATGCGAAGGAGGAGGCAGAGGAAACTGATCCAGCTGCGCCGTGGGCCTGGCCTGGCACAGACCTCGTGGGACCAGGGGTTTGAGTTACACCATCCTCGGGACTCTCCAGGTCACTGGCGGCGGCTCTCAGCCCAAGGCCAGCTCAAGGGAAAACCCAGGACAGAAGGTCCGGCCGCGGAGCAGAGTGAAGGCCGCACCCTGGCCGTCAGCGCCTGACAGGGGCATCCTCTGACCCCCCCCTCCCAACTGGTGCTTCCTCCAGTGTGGTGACACGTGTCCCTGTCCCCTACCCAGGCCCCGCTCCCACATAAGCCCATTTCTCCATGGCTCCCTCCTTTGTTCGTCACGGAGCTCACCCACAGCCGACCCCAAGTCCCAAGGCCTCGAGGCCAGCCCCACAGCCTCGTCTAGCCCCAGCGCCCCCCGTGTCTCCAGGGTGGGTCCAGAGCGCTGGGGCAGGCGTGGAGAGTAAGAGGCTGGTTGGCCACAGAGGAGTGCTCCCCCCACCCCCGGCCCGAGTCCCACCCCGTGACTGGCACCTGCTGGGTGACCTGAGCCCGCGGGCAGGGGCTGTGCAGCTGCTGACCTCCAGATGCACGGGGAGCTCTGACCTCGAGACTTCCAGGAGGAAAGTGGGGTCCAAGGGCCCAGACTCAAAGCCAGCAAGGGCCCACTCTGGCACATTCACAGACACTCGCTGCCTCGCGCCTGACGCCTTCTAATTATGTGCCTTCTAATTACCCCAAACCAGCACTTACTGGAGTCTGACGGCCCGAGTCTCTGCTTACTAGCAGCTCCCCAGGCCCCCACACCCAGCCTGAGCCCCCATCGGACCTGTCCAGTCAGGCTGCTGGCCGCCACCCAGAACGCTGCACACGTGGACACCTGCTGCCCCGACTCCCCTCTGAGCTTTCTCCCCACCAGGCCTCCAGCACCTACGCTGGGAGCCCTGGAACCCTGACTGAAAAGCAAGTTCCGATCAAGCCCTTGGCTGGGTGGGCCGGGGTGGGGCAGCGGGTGAAGCCTCCACCCCCCACCCTGCCTTCCCGTAGGCCGGGCAATCAGGGACCTTCCAAAGCCCAGCACCTCGGGGCACTCCCGAGGGCTTCCTGGGGGATGGGGGGCTGTCAGAGACGAGCAGACGGAGGCCCTGAGGAGGGTGGCAGGTGGTGTGGTGGTCCTCTCTGGCCCCAGGGCTCCTGACAGAGGAGAACCACGCTCAGGGCCCCGGGGGCACGAAAGGAAGTTAGCTTAGAGGCCACCCCTCCCAGAAAGCCAGCCTGGCGCCTGTTCCCACAGTTACCAGCTCCCTGTGGGACCTGAACCCCTGGGTGAAGCTTCACCTCGCTGGGCCTCAGTTTCCTCATCTGCAAGTGGGAGCTGTTTGTCCCCCAGAGCAAGGCTGTCAGGAGGTTTAAATGAGGTAACCTGACGTGGGTCCTGTGACTTCCTCCCATCACCCCTCTTTCCCTCAGCACCTCCCACCAGGGTTTGTAATTATTTGTTTGCTTGTTTGTTTATTGTTTGCCCCCGCACCAGACAGAAGCGAGGGCAGGAATGTCTTTCTCGTTCACCACAACACCCTCCCCCAGCCAGCGTCTAGAGCAGGAGGCCCCCATGAAACACGGGGATATTGGGGGGTGGGGGGGAGACGGTTCCTCACACACGGCCCGTCCCCACCCTCCTAAAAAGGCCCAAACAATTAGGATCAGAAATTCCCTGGAAGAAAGCCAAGGAGGAAAGCTGCAACCAGGGCCCCTCACAGGAGGTGCCGGAGCTCCAGGGCAGCGTAGCTCTGGAGGCCTCAGAGAAAGAGGAAGCTGTGTCCCCACCCTGCCTCCTCAGGCCTCAGCAGCTTCCCCTTTCCCAGAATTGAAGCTCATGGGGGTCACCGGGCTCCGGGCGGGCGCCCCGCCTCCGTCATTCACTCGCAGGCCTCCCCCGCCTTCATGAGGCTCCTCTGACAGCTCCCCCCACCCCCCAATATCCCCGTGTTTCACGGGGGCTGCCTTGGCCCCCCAGTGGCCTCCAGCACAGCCCTACCTGCAGCTTAGGTGTCTCAACACCCAGGTCTGGGCCCTGTCCCTCCCCACAGCTCCAGCCACTCTGAGCTACCTTCTGGCTCCACACCTGCCTCTCTCACTGGCGCTGGGACCTGCTGCTTCCTCTGCCCGGGAACCTCTCCCATCACCTGACACCCACCCTTCAGAGCTTAGCTGGAAGCTGCTTCCCCTGCAAGCCCCCAGCCACCACCTGTGCGTTTGTCGCCCTGGGTGTGACCCTCCTGTTAACCCCGCCCTTCCCCACTGCCGGGCTGCCCCCCACCCCCATGCCCAGCACCCAGCACCTGAAGAGCTATGTGCCAAGCCAGGGGCTCAGAAGAGGCGCTCAGGAGCGGGGCCAGCTTCTCCTAGGGTCAAGAGGGCCAGAGCGCAGGCCAACGGCTAAGGGGCCCAGTGGGTGGGACTGGGGCGGCGGCACTGAACGCAGATTTGAACCCCCTGCCTAACTCGGGGAGAACCAGACTTCGTGTTCCGCTCTTTACTGACACTGTGGCTGTGGACCCCACCCCTGCTCCCCATCTCTCAGAGGGCTGTTGTGAGAACAAGAGGAGAAAATTCACATTAAACACTTGGCACTGGGCTTCCCAGGGGGCGCCAGTAGTTAAGATGGCCGCCGACAGACTCTTGCAGGGGACATGGGTTCGATCCTGGTCCGGGCAGATTCCACGTGCCGTGAAGCAACCAAGCCCGTGTGCCACAACCCGTGAGCTGGGGCTCGAGAGGAAGCAGTCCGCAACCAGCACCACGGCCACCGAAGCCCGTGCGCCTAGAGCCTGTGCTCCACAAGGGGACAGGCCACCGCAACCAGAAGCCCGCACCCCACAGCCAAGAGTAGCCCCCGCTCGCCACAACTAGAGAAAGCCCACGTACAGCAACAAAGACCCAGCACAGCCAAACACTAACAAATAAATAAATCCTCTTAAAAAAGTACTCAGCACAGAGTGACGTGGAACAAGCTCTCAGTAAGCATTCACGCCTGTTTCTGGTGTACGCTGAGGAGGGGTTACAGCACACACCTGATGTGAGGTGCAAATGAGCTTCTCTTACATTCGTGTACAACGCTTGCGGGGCGGGGGGCGCAGGAAGGGAGAGGAAAGGTTGGTGGGCGGAGCCCAGGTCACACCAAGCCTAGGCTGCGAGCTGAGAAGCCTGCGTGTCCCCCCACCCGGGGCCTGCGGGAGCCTTGAAGGGCGAGCAGGGGAGCGAGGCATGGACCAACTCACAGCTCAAGAGGGCGTGCTGGGCTGCCGGCCAAGTGAGGCAGGGCTGGAGACGGAGGTGGGAGGCAGGTTCCCACCTGGAGCGGTGGGTGGGAGGCAGGCGTTTGTTTCCCGGCCGGTGGCTTCATGGCCTGTGGCCCTCCTGCAGCCTCCCGAGGCTAGGGTTGCCTGGAAACACAGCTGGACACAGGTCTCTCTCAGCAATGGCTGCACCCAAGCAGGAAGACAAAGGCCTCCCACCGACAGAGAAATCCAGGTTAGCAAGGAACCCAGTGGTTTCCTGGCAACTGGGGCTGAAGTAGGGCAGTGCCCACAGCTAGACGCTGTCTCCTTTCCATCCTCCTCCCTCAGAGGGAAGGTGACAGACCCTCATTCCCTCGGGCCAGGCCCTCATCCCGGGGTTGCCTCCACTCCTCACAGGAGAGGAGAGCATGCCTCTTTTATCCCTGAGGAAACTGAGGCTGCAGGAGGTCACCTGTATGGGTCACCCCACCCAGCCAGGGAGTGGTAAGGCAGAGATGCAGGCCAGGTACCTACATCT